GTTCAGTGAGATTTAATCATTACTGAGAGTTCATAATTCACACGAACACAAAAATTGTTGCTATTTGTTCAAACTACTTATTTAAGATGAGCTGAATCAACACAATTCTGCAGTTTTTTTGGAGACAACTTAATTGGTTTATGTTAAATAAACTTCGATTTGTTAAATTACCTTAATCGATTTGTGTTGAGACAACATAAAAGAATTACGTGGAACCACAAACAAAGTCCTGGCAAGTACCTATCCAGGATACAGGTACTTGACTGGCCTACCTGCAGTCCTGACCTGTCTCCAGTAGAGAATCTGTGGCACATTTTGAAGCGCAAAATTTGACAACGAAGACCCTGTTTTGTTGCAAAATAACACCTGAAACACTTCATCATTTGGTGTCTTCAGTCCCCAAAACTCTTTTAAGTGTTGTGAAAATGAATAGCAACATTACAGAGTGGTAAATGTTTTACTGTTCTAACTGTTTTTTATTATGTGTTGCAAGAACCAAAATTGGAATAAAAAATAATGAGCAACACAATAAATAATGTTTCTTGTATTGTCTGCAATGAAATGCAAGTTAAAGTAAATTTAGAAATAACTACTTTCTTTTTCCATACTGATTTGGGGGTGTATATTTAAAACACTTTCTTAATAATCTTTCTCAACTTTCTCATTTTTTACAATGTACCGTGTGTTTTATTTCTCATTAAGAAAGTTTGTTGCATAACCCTGTGATCTCTGCAGTATGCAAACAAATGTGACTTTATTTGTATCAGGAAGGACCGGTGAATGGGGAGCGCTATTTAGGCTGGGCCAACGCTTTCATCATCGTCTACAGCATTGACAACAGGAGTAGCTTTGAGGTCTGTCAGCAGTATTTAGAGACCGTGAGTCTTTACTCCAAAGGCCTGCAACCGGAAGCTCCTGTCATCCTTCTAGGCAACAAAGTGGACATGGAGAGATACAGGTGAATAAAACAACACTTTCTAGTAGGGGTTGGAATCTTTAGTAACTTCACGATCTGACTCTGGTTCTGTCAGTTACTATTCAATTGCAAAATGATTCTTGACATACATTTTTTCCTGTTTCTCAAGCTGTGCAAAAGACATCTTTCCAACTTTACATTTTAATCAGGATTAGAGTTATGCAAATGTTTTATGGATTTCTATATAGATACAGCTATTAAACTAGAATTTCTGAAGATTAATTTCAACATTACAAAATCATATGCAACCCAGGCTCATTGCGTATATGTACTCAGGTCTACATTTCTGAGGACAGCAGAATACATAACTGGAGTTGCGTCTGCTTGCTGTTTTGTTTTTCCAAATCCACCAGAGGTCGCTGTGTATGTTTTTTTGATGATCTTAAATTTCTCTCCAATATACACTTCAGCCAACCAGGGGTGTGTTTCCCAAAACCATCGTTCCATCGTTACAAACATAGTTTGTTGATTTGCCATTTCCCAAATTTGTCGCTCCAACGAACATTTGCAAACTACGTTGCAAACTTGAGCACTCGCAACTAAACCTCTGGAGCTGTAGTTAGAAACATAGTTCCTGGCTGTGTTCTATTTCCACGTATCCCCATTATGCCCTATTCATTTAGAACATTCTAACATTTAAACTTGGAAGGATTAAAAATAAAAAAAGCATTAAAGTCATCACTCTTAGGTGTAATTTGCTTTCTAACAGTTCTAACAGTTTTACAGTTCAGTTTTAGTGATCTTCATGTTTACAATTGTGCTCCCTTCGCAGTGCTTTTTGAAAACATTGATGTCATTTTGAACACAGCCTCATGGCGAAAGCTATAGGTGACCTGTTATTTAAAAGCGGAATATATGTTACGTCTCCAAAGCTTGTGAAAACAAAATGCATACGTTAATTCTTTTAATTTATAGTAGGTTATTTATTAATTATCTGTACTGTATATGACTTGGGCCTGCTGGTTAGAACTTTCTGCTGTGGTTTACATGTGTCAAACTGTAAAAGTAGACTTTTCTAAAAAATAGCTAAACAATATCCTTTTTAATAATAATCATCATCATCATCGTTGTTAATATTATTAATATTATTATTAAATTATGATATTTTATTTCTAGTACATAATAAATATTAAATTTCAATTTTTAATAAATAGCCTCATTATTAATTTATTCATATGATTTATATATGATATTAGAATACATGTTAGCTTTTGTAAGTGATTTTATGTTTTAGGATATTTGTACTTTACTCAATTTGTAGAGGAAACATTGGCTCTATGTGCCATTTGCCATTGCCATTTCAGTTCATATGGAAAGCAAGTGAATGTTTTTACCAAATCTAATATTGGATTTTATTTTAAATGCGTGTTTGTGTAAAACAATATAACTTGCACAAAGAAATGATGGGGTTCTTCTGTAAAGAAGTAGTTTCTCCACCCCGTTTAGAGCGTTATTATGGCCGTTTTACGTTATAATTAACATGGTTCAAGCGATGGATCTGCGACAGAGAAACTATGGGTTTTGGCAAACACTCGTCATTACATTTTACTTTTTCCAAATGATGCATCATACTATGATAGTTCAGCCGCAAGTTAAGTCGTTGTTTCAATAGTATCTGGATGCAGCCTTTATGATGCAAGCTGAGAGTGCATCACTCAGCGACGCAATGTCAGACACAATGCACTCAAATGGAGCTGTGATGGGTAGGGTTAGGGGTGGGGTTAGGTGAGCCCATTAAAAAGCATTGGATGCAGCCCAGATTGCACTGCACCAGGTCTGCAGCCAGACCCATCTCCGTTGTTTGGGAAACGCGCCCCAGGTCAGCTTGTTGTCGATTGACTGACTGACTGACTGATTGACCCACCCACTCTGTCCCTAAACCCAACCAATAGTGTTTTCAAAAGCAATCTAGAAAAAGAAAAACCATGTGGTTTTACCAAGTTTTCGGCCTGTTGTTTATTTATTTATTTATTTTGCTTTGGTTTTATCTGGTTTCTGGAACCGTTCTTCACCGGACTCAAACCCTGTTTTCATGCGGTCAGCTACTGGGCAAACTGGTAAAAGCAGAAAAGCCATTCCGTACGGAGGTAGTCGGTCAGCTGGTAGTGCTAGAAGAAACAGAAGCCGTCGGAGGCATCATATCACCCTGTAGTGTTCGTTTTAAAGACTAAATACAGCCATACGTACCTCTGGCTACATAATTCATGCTGTTAGATCACACTTTTCACGCCAGATAAATAATTTTCTAGCCCCGGACGCCAGATTCTGTGGGTAAATGTTTTAAACAAACTTTTTAACCAGTATTCAACTAAATTAAGTGTCTCCTATCAATATAGGAGTTGACTAAGAAAGCTAGAGAGGAGCAGAAGCAAGAGACGAAGTAATGATGATAAAGAAAGAGCAGAGTTTATTGAGTAACCTCAGTTGCATTTGATTCAATGCTCAGACCTCGTCTGANCAGGATAAATCCAACAAGTGTTATTATACCACAAGCAACAGCAATGGAAAATTACTGCTTCACAACATTGCCCAGAGACAATACAGACCTTGAAATGTAGACATTCTCTTCTCTTTTACTCATGAAAACAAGTGTCACTTGAATCCACACGTCATAAGATTATAACAACATGGAAAATGGAATTAATAATAAAGCAATAATTATATTAAAATAATAATAATAATAATAATAATACAATATAAAAACATAATAAAATGACCAATTATAATCAATAATAATTAAATCATTAACTAATGATCGATAAAATGATAATTATTTAAATGACTAATCAAATTATTAAACAAAATAATGAAATGAAGAATAAATGATTATAAACAAATGAAAATAAAACACAACACTATTGAATAGTTGCTTTCTTGAAACAACACACACATACTGTAAGTTTGCCACAAGGATTCTCAAATCCTTAGTTAGATTCTTCAGCACTCTCCAGAAATGCAGACAGGGGTTTGTATTCACAATGAGCCTTTGTTGCCAAATATATGTACAGTATTTATGTATTATTTCTATTTATCATGCAATTTATTTGTTAATTTGCAGACATAAAAACACTGCATGTTATAATGGGGCAATTCTAAGCATAGTGACCTAGTATATTCGACACACAACATGATGAGCTTTAAAAATGTGACCTCTTAAAAGCGCCAAATTTCCTGTTTCAGAGTGGGTGTTAGTCCAAACAACAACCAAGCATACCAGGAAATAGTGCATTTACATAGTTGTACGAAAGTCCTTCTGTTTGTTTGACTGGGAAAAAAAACATATGACCTGCGACTAGCTGTAATTACAACAAACACGTCTCGTACCATCACAGATTATTTAGGTTTTCATCTATTATGATCCTAAAATGTTTAAGTAAGGATTTGATCGCTCCGGGAAATGACCGTTTATTGCTTTTATATTTTCCTTTCATTGTGCAAACACAGTGCATGATTTATGATTTATCACACTTACAATAACAGCTGGACTCCATCAAATCTATTTATGTAACTGGTTCATTTGCCATTATTTTACTGCTCCTCTCCACTTCATATGTATGTTTTTAGCTGCTCTGCTATACACTGCTTGACAAAAGTCTTGTTGCCTATCCAAGTTTTAAGACCAACAAATAATAACTTGACTTCTAGTTGATCATTTGGTGTCAGAAGGGGCTAATATGAAAGGTAAAGGCCTCTAGATTACACTTATTTTACCAAAATAAAATATGATCATGCCTTAAATTTTAATGATTAAGTAAGGTCTGACTTTGTTTAGACAAAAGTCTTGTAACTTAACAGAAATAAGCGTAGAACTTTGATGTGGAGGCTGAAGTAAGAGAAAGAGCGCTGTTGTAACGTCGGGGAGTGACACTGACAACAGAAGGTAGGATCCAAATGCAGGTTTATTCAAAGTCAGGCAAGCGATGGTCAATTCAGGTGCAAACAGATAAATGTAGACAATCCAGAATCATAGTCGAATAACAGGCAAAAGGTCAAAAGGATAAGCTAGGCTAATAATCAAAAACACGGCAAAGGCAGACAAAGTAAAACGCGTTGTAATCAGGGCGCCCCCAGAAAATTTTCTTAGGGGTGGCCAGAAGAGGCCGCACCAAATCTTGGGGTGGCACACAAAAAAATTTGAAATTCAATGTAATTTTATATTTTTATTTTTGGTAAATGTATTAATGTAGTTTTTATTCACTTAATTAATTCTTCTTGAAATATTGCTATTTATTCCTTGAAGTAATTCAGGAAGTACATGTGCAAACCAAATAAAAATCTGTTTAGTTTAAAAACACTTTTCATATATATATATATATATATATATATATATATATATATATACATATATATATATATATATATATATATATATACTGTATAAATAACTTTTTACGTGATTTTATTGTACATCATACGGTATATGCCATGTCTAAAATTAATGAAGATTAATGAGTTTATTATTCCCAGAGATGGGTTGCAGCTGGAAGGGCATCCGCTGTGTAAAAATGTGCTGGATAAGTTGGCGGTTTATTCCACTGTTCCACCCTGGATTAATAAAGGGACCAAGCCGAAAAGAAAATGAATGAAAGAATAACGAGTTTATTAATAACTCAAACAAATGAACAAACTGAACAAAATGCATTATATACACACTCACTATACCTAATAATATCATTTATCCATATTACTTTGAGCCATTTAATTAATGCAGCTTCTTCTATTGATATACTGTAGCTTAAGGTAAATATTAAATTGCCATTGCTGTCTATTGAAGGTGTGTGCGTGTTGTCAACGACGATCGGGAAGGGTAGTGGCGGTTCTAGTTTAAATGACACCCTGGGCGAACCACCCTATACACCCCTCACCTCTCTTGAATTGTTAGATTTGTTATTCAATAAATATAAAAATTTATTTATATTTATTTTATTATTTATATACAATTATTATTCTGAATAAATAACAGAAATCAATCCTAAATATTACTGGAAAACAACAACTGGAGTGATATGCCAAGATATAAGAAACCTTTTGCATGAAAATTAATTATGACAATTCTAAAGAATACAAAAAATGTATTATAGAATTATCTGTGGTCTTAGACCAGATCATGGCTGAGAAATCATGTTATGAAGTCTTACCTCCCTGACACATTATCCCTCCTTTCTGTTTTAAAGGCATGCTTAGTGAAAGTAACAACATCATCATCATCATCATCATCATCATCATCATATTATATAAACTTTAGTCGACTTTTACCTCTGCACAAAAGGCTGTTACTCCGTTTCACGGCGCATGAGCGGCGCGTATTTTGTCGGCATGCATGCAAACAACCAACCGGGATTCACACAGGACTGCGGAGTTGCGCGGGAATGGTTTTCTGCGCGAATGCGTCAGTTTGCTTTCACCAGCATTCAGCATTGAACCAGCACTAAGAGGGGAGAGACAATGAATCAGCTGCGTCAGTAACACCAACAATAATTTAGTGGCTGCATTTTATTTATTTAAACATTGAGGGATTTATAAGTACATTTAAATCAATAATGTCAACAGCTAAATTATATTGGGGGGGCCAAAGGGGTGGCCACAGGGGTGGCCAGAGTTTACCGAGGGGTGGCCGTGCAAAGGCGGAAATGTAGTTCCAAGTGTGTGTTTGTGTGTGTTTACCAGCGACATCTGGTGGTTGTTCGCTGGTGAACATGACAGCTATCATGCTGAAGAATTTGCCCTCTCCTGTGGTTTGTAATATAATGGGCAGCACAAATGTCTTGATACCTCAGAGTGGTGGTGTCGCCATATACTCTAAAGATCTCTTACAGGTCTCCATCTTGAATGTAACCCCAAACCATGATTTTTCCTTCACCAAACTTGACTGATTTCTGTGAGAATCTTGGGTCGATGTGGGTTCCTATAGGTCTTCTGCAGTATTTGTGATGATGATGATGCAGCTCAACAGATGATCCATCAGAAAAATTGACCTTCTGACACCTTTCTAAATGATCAACTAGAAGTCAAGTTATTATTTGTTGCTCTTACAACTGGGATTGACGACAAGACTTTTCTTAGGTAGTGTAAATATTGATATAGAGAGTTTGGTAACACTTTACAATAATGTTCCATTAGTTAATGCATTTACGTTCTTCTACTATGAACAAGCATTTATAAATCATAGTTTACATTAACTAAGGCACTATTAAAAAACAAATCCTTTAGTTAATCCACAGAAAGGCATAAAAACCAATGCCTTTATTTTGATTAACATTAACAATGATGATTAAATACTGTATAAATGTATTGTTGGTTGTTTGTTCATGTTGGAAAATACATTAGATAACTAACTAATGGACCCTTGTTGTACTGTGTTGACTCCAGCTATCTTAAGCAAATATTAGCTTTATAATAAATGTTTTCTATTTCACTGTATTCGTTTCTTTGATGTAAAGCTGATTTGGAAGCATCATTGTTCCAGCATTCAGTGACACACGATCCTTAAGAATTCATTGTGATTTGATTTGCTGCTCCAGAAATATTTATTATCATGGAAAACAGCTGTGCTTAATATTTTAGAGGAAAATATGTAAAGGTGTGTTTTTGTCCCAGCATTTAGTTAAAAAATGGACATATTTTGTAACCTCTCTATCATTGCTTGATCGATTAAATTAGTATTTTTTAACTTCTTCTACTGATCTTTAAACATTTGAAAATTGGTGCAATTTTTAAATGGATATTTATTAATTAACCTTAAAATAGCCTTATAAATTCAGCAGTGTAATTATTTATTATTTTTTTCCTGATATTATTAACTTATTTACTGGTTTAATTGAGCTTTTAATTACTTTTTGTAGAATGCAAAAACCTCTTAGTGGCATCTGAAATTTTCTTTGAATATTTTTATTGTTCTCTGTGTAGTTTCAGTATTTTCCGCTGTATGGCAAAGAATATATTATTTTCATTGCTGTTAATGTGAAATAACTGATCATGAACAGGAGGCTGAGTAAAATTGTAGATTGGCACTTGGATGGTTTAGATTTTTTTTGCATCTGAACTTTTTATTTTTGGTCGATTTATTTACATTGTAAGACCACATGTTCCATATTCTTTTCACAATATATTATTGATGTTCACTAAAGAGGTCCATTTTATCTTATCATACTTTCATAATGCATGCATTTATAGTGATAGTTAACTTAATATTATTACTATCCCTTTATTTTGATGGTACCTTTTGCACATTTTGTTGACGATAAGTAGGCCCACACGGAATATGCACGCGCAGAATTCCACAGATTTTCTGCAGATTTCTGCAGATTTTTAGCCCATTATTAATTCTGTTTATTTACTTGAGTAAATGTGTAAATCTAAATTTATTCAGTTTTTATTCAGTAATTTATTACTTTTTATTTGATATATTAATGTTTTAGTTATGATACTCTGCTGGATACTAAATATTTCCGCAGAAATCCGCAGATTTTTACCAAAATTCTCTGCAGAAATAGCAAAAAATGTCCGCAGATTGCGTCTGGCCCTGACTACAAGTTATATTGAAACTTTGTCACCTAATTCTCATCACAGTATTAGTAGACTGTCTGCTATTATATGCTGATACAGCTTAACCAACAGTCATTCAAATGACTATAAGAAACATTGCAAGTATGTCTACTTACTCTAACCCTAACCTCACTAATAATCTATTAGTTTAGTATAGAGACTTAACTATTATTAGTCTACTAATTTACTATACTAATACTAATAGAGACCTTTTTCATAGAAGGCAAAATTACCCATTATGCCTTGCGTGTAGCCTATGCATAAGGAGGATGCTTTGAACTTCCAGTCAGCAACTTGATGTGTATAAACAGTCACATCTGGACCGCTTTAAAATGATAGTTTTAATCTATTTTACTTTTGTTGTCTTTGTGCTAACGCTACAGGTGATTAGAGCCACCCCCTGACTGATTATTTAAAAATGTGATCTAATAGGAATTAAAACAACATCTGCGAGTTACATCATTAGCGCAAAAGTGATCATTTTCTCTTTTTTTCTAAGTTATAACCAGCCCACACAAGCAATTCACCAAAATGTTTGACACACTTTGATAGAATAAGGTGCACAATGTGAAAATAAAGTGGCATTTTGAAATGACAGAAAAACATACTGTGGTAAAATGGCCTACAACACAATACAAACTAAATAAAACAGAAATGGCTCCTGATTAGAATAAACATACAGGTCACCCTGCTGAAAAAAACTGCTTAAACAAGACTAAGCTGGTTTTCGCTGGTTAGCTAGCAGGTTTTAGAGGAGTTTTGGCAAGTTCCATGCTGGTTCCAGCCATTTCAAACCTGGTCTTAGCTGGTAAGGGAGATGACCAGCTAAAGCCAACTCGACCAGCCTAGCCAGGCTGGGAGACCAGCAAAAAACCAGCTATGTCCAGCTTGAACCAGGCTGGTCAAGCTAGAACCTGCCTGGAAATGGCCAATTACTATACTACTATAATGGCCTTAATTAACACACACCTTTTAAAATTAAAGTTGTGTCACAAAAACACTCCGTAAGCCACTCAAAATGGTATTAGCAACAATTTTCAGATCGAGATTAGCAAGTTATAAACAACGAAAACGTAAGACGGATTACGTTACCTACCGGAAGACGCTGATTGCTATGGCGCCCTCCATGCAGCAACGAAAAAAAAAAAGTTAATACTCATTCATTCATTTTCTTATTGGCTTAGTCCCTTTATTAATCCGGGGTCGCCACAGCGGAATGAACCGCCAACTTATCCAGCACATTTTTACGCAGCGGATGCCCTTCCAGCCGCAACCCATCTATGGGAAACTTCCACACACACATTTACACACACACACTCATACACTACGGACTGTTTAGCTCACCCAATTCACCTGTACCGCATGTCTTTGGACTGTGGGGGAAACCCGGAGGAAACCCACGCTCACGCAGGGAGAACATGCAAACTCCACACAGAAACACCAGCTGAGCCGAGGATCGAACCAGCGACCTTCTTGCTGTGATGCGACAGCACTACCTACCACGCCACTGTGTCGCCAAGGTTAATACTATAGTCTACTGATATACTAATAGTAATAATAATAGTCGACTTCTTTCTGCTCAACAGAGAAGAAGATATTTTAAAGAATGTTTGAAACCAGTAACCGATGTCATCTAGAAATCAATGGTTACTGGTTTACAACATACTTCAAAACATCTTCTTTTGTGTTCGTCAGAAGAAAGCAACTTAATCAGGTTCAGAATAAGTGAAGAGTGAGTAAATGATGACAGAATGTTCCTATTTTTGGATGATTTGTCCTTTTAAAGGGTTAAACATTTAGTCTCTCTCGCTGTTTCTCAGACAGGTGAGCAAGGCAGACGGTGCGGCTCTGGCTTTGCGCTTCGGCTGCCTTTTCTTTGAAGTCTCCGCCTGTTTGGACTTCCTGTCAGTTCAGCACATCTTCCATGAAGCGGTTCGGGAAGTGCGGCGAGAAACAGAGAGGAGCATCCGTCCACTCTTCATCAGCGAAGACAAGTCTGCCATCAGCCTGAGCTCTGCTCCTCCACTCACCGCCTGCTATAAAGAGCTGCCCACACCGGCGACTGCAAAGCTGGTGACTGTTAAATCCTCCAGAGCTCAGAGCAAACGCAGAGCTCCGACGCTGACACTCCTCAAGGGCTTCAAGATTTTCTGACGCCCTCTAGAGAAATTGAAGAGCATCTGCAAGAGGGAGCCCTGCTCCTATTGTGCTGTTTTAAAGGAACACTATTTTTGGCTCATTTTGCAAGTACAGTTGAGATTTACCGTTTTTGAATCCATTCAGCCGAACTTTGGGTCTGGTTGGAGAACTTTTAGCTTAGCTTAGCATAAATCATTGAATCAGATTAGATCATTAGCATCTCACTCAAAAAAAAATGTAAAAAAAGATTTTGATAATTTTTTTATTAAAAGCTTGACCCTTCTGTAGTTATATCATGTATTAAGACAGACGGAAAATGAAAAAGTTGCTATTTCCTAGGTCAATATAGGACTAGGAACTAAACTCTCATTCTGGCTTAACACAGCCATATTACCCTGAAGCCCAGGAAAAAAAACGGTTACCAGGGCTGAGCCTGGTCAGTACCTGGATGGGAGACCACATGGGAACACTAGGTTGCTGTTGGAAATGGTGTTAGTGAGGCCAACAGGGGGCACTTAACCGGTGGACTGTTACCCCAGTATAGTGAAGGGGACACTATCAGTGAGCGCCGTCTTTCAGATGAGATGTTAAACCATGGTCTGACTCTCTGTGGTCGTTAAAAATCCCATGGCACATCTCGTAAAGAGCAGAGATGTAACCCTGGTGTCCTGGCCAAATTGCAGAACAGAATGGTTTCTAGTCAGATTACAACAATGATAATTTTTTCCCTTATTTTTTAGTGTATCTATTGTAAACTTATAGTAAACTTACTATCAATGTGGGACTCTTATTTTGAAAATGGGAGAGGCGAGGATGCGCATTATTTTTTATACTTTGCTAAGCGATGCAGATAGATGCCGAATATTTGTGTACATTGATAGACAATGAAAACAATGTTTCGAATGTTTTAGTGCTTCATGTCCAGTGTGCATTAGAATGCAAGATGCAGGATATACAGATTATACATTTATTCAGTGCCACCCCTAAGAAGCATAATAAGGTCTGTTCTTTTTGTATCTTTTTTTTTAGCTTATGTAAATCTGTGGTAAAATCCCATCTAATTGGTCGGATTTGAATATTGACAAATTACGAATGCACCACACAAATGCATGGCACATAAATTGAATGTAATTTATTACACCTACTGTGGTACCGATATTGCATACCGATATTATAGCTATAATAACATTTTTTTATGATATATTGTGCAGCCCTAATGAAAAACTTAAAAAAAAGATGTTTGTTCAAGGGAATTTTGATTTCTCAGATCCTGACCTCTTTAAGCATTTTTGATTTTGTTTTGGAAGTGTTCTACAAGAGGTTTACATCAATTTGAGGTCCAAATAATGCAATTATTATATTAAATATCATAAAATCCACTGCAGCATCAGCCCTTTTCTTACAACATCTGAAATGGACAACCCAGGCTTATTCTGAAAACGTTGCATTAGCGTCCCATCCAGTGGCGTAGCGGACGGGCCCGCAGGGCACGCACCGCAGGGGGGCCCCGCGTGATTAGAGGCCCCCGCGTCGTCGCGATTTTCAATATTTGTAAATCCGTCAACCACAATAATCAAACTCTTGGGAACAACTGTGGTCGGAACCAAAGTTCACAGGTCTGTGTTCTCTAAACACCTCTCAAACGGTGGACTACTTCATTCTGATTGCTTGCCGCCGAACCGTGTTATATCATAGCTCAAAGTTGACTTGATTTGATCTCTCCTTGACGCTCACACCGGAGTCTATGACAAGGTTCAGGTGGTAAATGCAATCAAGTTAGATGAATGAGCATGGGTGTCAGGGAGAAGTGCATGTATGAAAATGTAGTCCAGGCAAAGGCGGAAGTGTAGTTCTAAGTGTGTGTTTGTGTGTGTTTACCAGCGACATCTGGTGGTTGTTCGCTGGTGAACATGACAGCTATCATGCTGAAGAATTTGCCCTCTCCTGTGGTTTGTAATATAATGGGCAGCACAAATGCCTTGATACCTCAGGGTGGTGATGTCGCCATATACTCTGAAGATCTCTTACAGGTCTCCATCTTGAATGTAACCCCAAACCATGATTTTTCCTTCACCAAACTTGACTGATTTCTGTGAGAATCTTGGGTCGATGTGGGTTCCTATAGGTCTTCTGCAGTATTTGTGATGATGATGATGCAGCTCAACAGATGATCCATCAGAAAAATTGACCTTCTGACACTTTTCTAAATGATCAACTAGAAGTCAAGTTATTATTTGTTGCTCTTACAACTGGGATTGACGACAAGACTTTTGTTAGGTAGTGTACATATTGATATAGAGAGTTTGGTAACACTTTACAATAATGTTCCATTAGTTAATGCATTTACGTTCTTCTACTATGAACAAGCATTTATAAATCATAGTTTACATTAACTAAGGCACTATTAAAAAACAAATCCATTAGTTAATCCACAGAAAGGCATAAAAACCAATGCCTTTATTTTGATTAACATTAACAATGATGATTAAATACTGTATAAATGTATTGTTGATTGTTTGTTCATGTTGGAAAATACATTAGATAACTATTAACTAATGGACCCTTATTATACTGTGTTGACTCCGGCTATCTTAAGCAAATATTAGCTTTATAATAAATGTTTTCTATTTCACTGTATTCGTTCCTTTGATGTAAAGCTGATTTCGAAGCATGATTGTTCCAGCATTCAGTGTCACACGATCCTTAAGAATTCATTGTGATTTCATTTGCTGCTCCAGAAATATTTCTTATCATGGAAAACAGCTGTGCTTAATATTTTAGAGGAAAATATGTAAAGGTGTGTTTTTGTCCCAGCATTTAGTTAAAAAATGGACATATTTTGTAACCTCTCTATCATTGCTTGATCAATTAAATTAGTATTTTTTAACTTCTTCTACTGATCTTTAAACATTTGAAAATTGGTGCAATTTTTAAAAGGATATTTATTAATAAGCCTTATAAATTCAGTTGTGTATTTATTTATTATTTATTTCCTGATATTATTAACTTATTTACTGGTTTAATTGAGCTTTTAATTACTTTTTGTAGAATGCAAAAACCTCTTAGTGGCATCTGAAATTTTCTTCGAATATTTTTATTTTTCTCTGTGTAGTTTCAGTATTTTCCGTTGTATCGCAAAGAATATATTATTTTCATTGCTTTTAATGTGAAATGACTGATCATAAACAGGAGGCTGAGTAAAATTGTAGATTGGCACTTGGATGGTTTAGATTTTTTTTGCATCTGAACTTTTTATTTTTGGTCGATTTATTTACATTGTAAGACCACATGTTCCATATTCTTTTCACAATATATTATTGATGTTCACTAAAGAGGTCCATTTTATCTTATCACACTTTCATAATGCATGCATTTATAGTGATAGTTAACCTAATATTATTGCTATCCCTTTATTTTGATGGTACCTTTTGCACATTTTGTTGACGATAAGTAGGCCCACACAGAATCTGCGTGCGCAGAATTCCACAGATTTTCCGCAGAATTCCGCAGATTTCTGCAGATTTTTAGCCCATTAGTAATTCTGTTTATTTACTTGAGTAAATGAGTAAATCTGAATTTATTCAGTTTTTATTCAGTAATTTATTACTTTTTATTTAATATATTAAGGATTTAGTTATGATACTCTGCTGGATACTCTTAAAATATTTCCACAAAAATCCGCAGATTTTTGCCAAAATTCTCCGCAGAAATGGCAAAAAATGTCCGCAGATTCCGTCTGGCCCTGACTATAAGTTATATTGAAACTTTGTCATCTAATTCTCATCACAGTATTAGTAGACTGTCTGCTATTATATGCTGATACTGCTTAACCAACAGTCATTCAAATGACTATAAGAAACATTGCAAGTATGTCTACTTACTCTAACCCTAACCTCACTAATAATCTATTAGTTTAGTATAGAGACTTAACTATTATTAGTCTACTAATTTACTATACTAATACTAAAGGAGGATGCTTTGAACTTCCAGTCATCAGCTTGATGTGTATAAACAGTCACATCTGGACCGCTTTAAAATTATAGTTTTAATCTATTTTACTTTTGTTGTCTTTCTGCTAACGCTACAGGTGATCAGAGTCACCCCCTGACTGATTATTTAAAAATGCGATCTAATAGGAATTAAAACAACATCTGCGAGTTACATCATTAGCGCAAAAGTGATCATTTTCTCTTTTTTTCTAAGTTATAACCAGCCCACACAAGCAATTCACCAAAATGTTTGACACACTTTGATAGAATAAGGTGCACAATGTGAAAATAAAGTGGCATTTTGAAATGACAGAAAAACACACTGTGGTAAAATGGCCTACAACACAATACAAACTAAATAAAACAGAAATGGCTCCCGATTAGAATCAACATACAGGTCACACTGCTGAAAAAAACTGCTTAAACAAGACTAAGCTGGTTTTCGCTGGTTAGCTAGCAGGTTTTAGAGGAGTTTTGGCAAGTTCCATGCTGGTTCCAGCCATTTTCAACCTGGTCTTAGCTGGTAACGGAGATGACCAGCTAAAGCCAACTCGAACAGCCTAGCCAGGCTGGGAGACCAGCCAAAACTAGCTATGTCCAGCTTAAACCAGGCTGGTCAAGCTAGAACCTGCCTGGAAATGGCCAATTACTATACTACTATAATGACCTTAATTAACACACACCTTTTAAAATTACAGTTGTGTCACAAAAACACTCCGTAAGCCACTCAAAATGGTATTGGCAACAATTTTCAGATCGAGATTAGCAAGTTATAAACAATGAAAACGTAAGACGGTTTACGTTACCTACCGGAAGACGCTGATTGCTATGGCGCCCTCCATGCAGCAACGAAGAAAAAAGTTAATACACATTAATTTATGTCTGCTTAGTCCCTTTATTAATCTGGGGTCGCCACAGCGGAATGAACCGCCAACTTATCCAGCACATTTTTACGCAGCGGATGCCCTTCCAGCCGCAACCCATCACTGGGAAACTTCCACACACACACTCATACACTACGGTCAATTTAGCTTACCCAAATTTCCTGTACCACATGTCTTTGGACTGTGGGGGAAACTGGGGCACGCAGAAACGGCAACTGAGCAGAGGATCGAACCAGCGACCTTCTTGCTGTGAGGCGACAGCACTACCTACTGCGCCACTGAGTCGCCAAGGTTAATACTATAGTCAACTAATATGCTAATAGTAATACTAATAGTCTACTAATTTTCCAATGAGAATTAGTTAAAATAGTTTCAATGTAACTTATAATCAACAAATTGTGTTTACTTAAAAAAACTCATTTTCCAAACTTTGAGTTTCTTTCTGCTCAACAGAGAAGAAGATATTTTAAAGAATGTTAGAAACCAGTAACCGATGTCATCTAGAAATCAATGGTTACTGGTTTACAACATACTTCAAAACATCTTCTTTTGTGTTCGTCAGAAGAAAGCAACTTAATCAGGTTCAGAATAAGTGAAGAGTGAGTAAATGATGACAGAATGTTCCTATTTTTGGATGATTTGTCCTTTTAAAGGGTTAAACATTTAGTCTCTCTCGCTGTTTCTCAGACAGGTGAGCAAGGCAGACGGTGCGGCTCTGGCTTTGCGCTTCGGCTGCCTTTTCTTTGAAGTCTCCGCCTGTTTGGACTTCCTGTCAGTTCAGCACATCTTCCATGAAGCGGTTCGGGAAGTGCGGCGAGAGACGGAGAGGAGCATCCGTCCACTCTTCATCAGCGAAGACAAGTCTGCCATCAGCCTGAGCTCTGCTCCTCCACTCACCGCCTGCTATAAAGAGCTGCCCACTCCGGCGACTGCAAAGCTGGTTACTGTTAAATCCTCCAGAGCTCAGAGCAAACGCAGAGCCCCGACGCTGACACTCCTCAAGGGCTTCAAGATCTTCTGACGCCCTCTAGAGAAATTGAAGAGCATCTGCAAGAGGGAGCCCTGCTCCTATTGTGCTGTTTTAAAGGAACACTATTTTTGGCTCATTTTGCAAGTACAGTTGAGATTTACTGTTTTTGAATCCATTCAGCCGAACTTCAGGTCTGGTTGGAGAACTTTTAGCTTAGCTTAGCATAAATCATTGAATCAGATTAGCTCATTAGCATCTCACTCAAAAAAAAAAAATGTAAAAAAAGATGTTGATAATTTTCCTATTTAAAGCTTGACCCTTCTGTAGTTATATCATGTATTAAGACAGACGGAAAATGAAAAAGTTGCTATTTCCTAGGTCAATATAGGACTAGGAACTAAACTCTCATTCTGGCTTAACACAGCCATATCACCCTGAAGCCCAGGAGAAAAAACGGTTACCAGGGCTGAGCCTGGTCAGTACCTGTATGGGAGACCACATGGGAAAACTAGGTTGCTGTTGGAAATGGTGTTAGTGAGGC